GAACCATGCCATAGTGAAGGGTCAAGGTCTCCTGTACTTCTGAAATTAAGCCAGCAATTGTTGACTGGGGGCCATCTTGAAAGATATCAGGGGGTACATCTGTTTGCTCATACAGATCATCAGGTAGAGGGGTTGGGCATCGTTGTTCACGAGGGATGAAATCAATATCATATTCAGAAGCTTGTTGATCTGCAGAGGGGGCCATATCCATGTGCTCATCTTCCATTTCATCTGGAGATGGAGTACGGAACCTTCCAAATTCAAAACAACAATCCCATTCGTTCCAATAGGAATCATATCGTTTCTGTTCAGGGCCATATTCCTCCAAAGTCTCGATACGTTCACTAGCAAGGACTTCTTCTCGACCAGGGAGTTCAGGGTCACGGTCCCATACAAAAACCTTTGCAGATTTTATGGGTGGATTTCGTTCTCGATTCAAGTGTCTTTCACGCTCCAATGCTGTCTCCAGACTTAAAAGACGGGGACGATTTTCCTCACGTCTTTCAAAGAATTCTCTCCAAGTGATTGTTTTGACTGTGGTTGTTGCCGGAGAGCCGAGAGGATTTGCAGATGACTCTGGTATTCCACCACTTTGCGGGGGACCAAATTGAGCAAATATTGGGTCATGCTTTGCCCACTCTATTTCGTCCACATCCCATTGATACCAGATCGGAATGTTGTGAGCGATTAGCCAGCGAACAGAAGGTTGGTGAGTCTTTTCGATGTCATCTTTGGTAAGATAGATAAACGCTCCAACGCGCTGAACTTCATGTGAGAACGTGCCAAGGTCAGATGCCCGAATTAAATCAGCAATGGCAGGATGGAATTGCAAATGATTCTCGAGAAGAGAAGGCCATTCATAGCCCTTTTGCGATAAGCTATCTGCTCCTGCTATTAAGAACGATAATAGGCCAATCCACAGCACAAATATATCACGAGACTGGTAGCTACCACTTACATCATGTACTCCTGAGCTGTACCATAGAAGTTCCTGCTTAGCTACCGTGAATGAAATGAAATGAATTTTCATTCATTCACGGCACCTGTTTCATTCTAGATAATTTATTCTGTTTCATTCATTCCTGGCGACTGTTTCATTTTTTTCTTTCATTCCACCAGGGCAACTGTTTCATTCCTTGCTTCATTCTTCTCAGGTGCCTATTTCATTGTTAGAGCTGGGAAAATGATTATGTAATTGATACAAAATATTTAAGTGCCTTATTTGGCAACAGCATGCCTATCTCATTGTGTATTTGAGCCTCAAATGCAAAAGTACCCCCATATGGCCTCCCACACCACTGCAGTAGGGCACAACACATATCAGGCATAATTGTATATTATTTCCTTATTTAGATGTGTGTTAAAACATCGAAATTGTTGCCTGAAAGAATGAAACAAAAATGAAATAACTGCCTGGAAAGAATGAAATGAAAATTCCATGGCAATGAATGAATGAAAAAAATGAAACAGTTGCCAGGAATGAATGAAACGAAAGAATAAAGCAAAAAATGAAACAGTTGCCATGGTGGAATGAAATTAAAAAAATGAAAGAGTCGCCAGGCATGAATGAAACAGAATAAATTTCATTCTTGTCAGTAGAAATGAAGAAAAAATGA